GCTAACTGTCTGCTAATGCACGCGCTAGGTAATCTATCTTTTAGCCCCACGGCTCAATATTCTTGGCCAGGTCTTTGACTGTTTGCCTGCCTACTGTTGCTGGTGCAGGACACCAAGATCTCTTCCCTGGAGAGGAACATCAGAGACTTAGAGGATGAAGTCCAGATGCTAAAGACCAGCGGCCTGCTGCACTCTGATGAGAGGCAGGACGAGCTCAAGCAGGTGGAGGTCTACAAGAGCCATTCTAAATTCATGAAGACTAAGGTAGAATATCTTTGCATGCCACCTGAGATGACTCCACGCCGCGTGATCCGGGACGTGCATGCTTGTGTCAAGTATAAATAGCCAGAAGGCCAGAAACGGTTACATGTTGCATGTTGCTTGTTTATGGGGAAACAAGACGAATGTGGAAAAATCTGGCAAACTGCATGAATCTGTATTTTGTATTGTGTGTTTTAGCTGCATTCGCACTAAGCCTCTCATGTTGCATGCGTGCCAAGAACTCCTACATGTGGATGCATTTCTTATTTGATGTTTAAAGCCAGGTTGTGAGTAGTGAACAGCAGTACTTGCTTATTTGCGCTGTGTGATTACTAAGCATTACACAACCCTCCTATCGTTGACTAAGGGAGCAAACTCAGGAACTATCAGCTAACAGCGCTGTGTCGGTTTCCTGCCGTATCCTGGTTTATTCATCAACACACGAATGTGTCCAAAGCCACACAGATGACATGCACATATATGAACGTGCACACACGCATACTGTATGCATCCAAACCCTGTTAAAAATGTAGTTTCAGGTTTCAGTGCTCATGACGGGCGAGGCCCATGAGCTGCGCTCCGTTTGGTTCATTAATGGTGCTCATTGTGGGGCTCATTTGTCATTGCGTCGGGGAAGTTCCTGATGCAATCATAAAAGAGATGTTTTTATGAATGGGGCCCTGACAGATGAATGTGAGCTTACATCGGCAGAGGAACAGAGGAAGGAGCTCTCTCTTCACCCACACCGGCCCGGGATGACATACATCACAGCGATGGCCCCCGGCTCGTTCTCCCGTGGCTCATCTGTCTTCGTACAGTCACAGAGAAACACAGCGAGTCGCCACGCACATGGATATGCACAGATTCATCCTACATGCTGGTAGTGTTTAGGGTCCGGGTCTTTCAGCGGTGTTGGTGGCTGGTGTTGAGGTGGGACTGCGATAAGGGAAACCAGAGAGGGCGGCATCGCTGTGCTCTCTGGTTTCTCCTCCCGACTTTGATCTGCTCAAACATGGGAAAAATGGCTTTGGAGAACACGAACACGTGTTAGAGTACGCGAGCTGGAGCAGGTAAATGTGCTTACCCTTTGCAAGCCGAGGCTGTGTGGTTGCAGTGTGTGAAGAGTGGCTGGGCACAGCTCGTGCTGCATTTTAGTGGCTTGCTGTTTTCTTGTCTTTGTAGGAGCAGGCCTTGTCCCCATGTGTGTCTTCCATCAGACCAGCTCCCACCTTCCTCCCCACCCAACAGCCTTGGATCACAGAACAAGCAGAAGTACCCCTCTCATTAGTCTCTCTGCTCTCTCATTATTTCCTCATAGCCTAATAGTCTTTGAAATATCTGCTCCTTATTTTAATTATAAAGCCTTTTTATCATTATTTTTCACTGACTTCTCATTTCCTGACTTGTTTTTCTTCGTGTTCAGTCACCGC